AGAGATACCACAATTGAAGCAGTTAGTGTAGAACAGTTCTAGAATATAGTCGAGTTGTTATATCTAGTCACACTACCTAGTCTACTCAAAACTATTGATAGTATACTTTTGGTCTATAAAAGAGACTTTCTACACAAGCAACAGCTTATACCTGTATAATTTGGAATAGGCACTCGGAAAGGCTTGGCTAGGATGCTACGAATGAAAGCCTCCTGTAGGAAACAAAGCGGAAATGACAATGTTGAATTAATCTTACTAATACATGTATGATAAATAAATTCAAAATATAGTGAAATAGAAAGGTATTGTAACCAGACTCAATGCTACCCTTATTTTCTGCTGCTAGTACATTTTCCAGGCAACCCACTTTCTTGCCACTTAGTTCAGAATAGCACAAACAATTGGAGTCCTAACTCTGAGATCAGATGACACAACAAATACAAGAACAATAGTGCCAAAAATATGCCCTCTTCCCTATCTTCGATATTGCAAGCTTTAAAGTCAGGCAGCCTGACTTGCACTTTCATTTTTACTTAATTGGCATTTCCTGTGTCCCAAATATGAATTGGCAAGACTGTTATATTCTGGGACTCTTCCTTTAATTTTGGGTGAAATGGAAGAATGAAGGGGATTATTTACCTGTTATGAATTCTACCTGACAAGAAGCTCAGATGGTATACTTGTTAAATGGGAGCCCATGTTATCTCACAGTAGGAAGGTGGTGTAAGATTTTAATAACTAAACAATGATGGTGACAACTATGCTGGCAGAGGATAGACTGTTAGCCTTAATATTATAGGCATGTGGTGGAAATGTCAACATATTACCTCTTGTAAAAGTTTATACATTAAAGTGTATATATTTTCAAGATAGACCGCCAGCTCCATAGCTAATTTTATCCAGTTACAAGGCTTTGGGAAGCGTGAGTGGCAGACAGGAAGATGGAGCAAAAGAGAGTGCGAGAGATAAAATAGATAGAAGCAGTTAGTCCTGTGTCCTAAGTCGATGAAATGCTGATCTTGTTGGATGCCACATAAATGTAAGTGGGTGCTCATGCTCAGATTGAAGAGACATTTTGTGAAATTTAAATGATTGTAAGATTCACCTAGCTTGGTTAGAGAGAAGAATTTCCAATTCATTCCTCACCATGAAAGTGTGTTTGGGGACTAGACCTTATCCTGTTGAAAGGGGAAAGGGCAGTGAGCCATTAGGAGCTGAGAATATTTTTGTGTTAGCAATAGAATGTCATATTTGTACAGTTAAATAGATTATACTCGATTTGTAACAAAGTTGACAATTGCAAACAATAGAATTCAATCATTTTCAGCTCCATCTCAATAATATATAAGACCATAAGATATACGAGCAGAAATTAGGCCATTCAGCGCATCGAGTTCACTCCGCCATTCAATCATGGCTGTTAAGATTCTCAACCCCGTTCGCCCGCTTTCTCCCCGTAACCCTTGACCCCCTTGACAACCAAGAACCTATCTATCTCTATCTTAAATATACTCAATGACCTGGCCTCCACAGCCTTCTGTGGCAGTGAATTCTATAGATTCACCAGTCTCTGGCTGAAGACGTTTCTCCTTATCTGAGTTCTAAAAGGTCTTCCTTTTACATGAAGGCTGTGCCCTCAGGTCCTAGTCTCTCCTACCAATGGGAACATCTTCCCAACATCCACTCTGTCCAGGCCATTCAGTATTCTGAAAGTTTCAATTAGATACCCACTCATCCTTCTAAATTCCATCGAGCATAGACCCAGAGTCCTCAAACATTCCTCATATGTTAAGCTTTTCATTCCTGGGACCATTCACATGTACCTCCTCTGAACCCGCTGTACATCTTTCCTGAGACATGGGGCCCAAAACTGCGCACAATACTCCAAACGTGGCCTCACCAGAGCTTTACTGAGTCTCAGAAGTACATCCCTGCCTTTATATTCAAGCCCTCTCAAAATAAATGCCAAAGTTGCATTTGCCTTCCTGACTACTGACTTAACTTGCAAGTTTACCTTGAGAGAATCCTGGACTAGAACTCCCAAGTCTCCTTGCACTTCAGACTTCTGAATTTTCTCCCCATTTAGAAAATAGTCCATGCTTCTATTCTTCTTACCAAAGTGCATGACCTCACACTTTCCCACATTGTACTCCATATGCCAATTCTTTGCCCACTCTCCTAACCTGTCCAAATCCTTCTGCAGCCTCCCTGCATCCTCAATACTACCTGTCCCTCTACTTATCTTTGTATCGTCTGCAAACTTAGCCAGAATGCACTCAGTTCCTTCACCTAGATCATTAATGTATAAAGTGAAAAGTTGTGGTCCCAACACTGACCCTTGTGGATTACCACTTGTCACCGGCTGCCATCCTGAGAAAGACCCTTTTATCCCCACTCTCTGCTTTCTGCCAGACTTCCAATCTTCTATCTTTTGGGCCCTCATACAGTCAAGTTTGTTCCCCACATGATTCGTAGTACTGATCACTCACATGCTGGCTGCTGTCAAGACACACAGGTCGATTAGTTAGTTGTGCTAGCGGTTTCCGAAATGGTGACATAAAATTTTCACCATTGTCTCGCTGACATGCCAGTTTGCGCCGTTTTGGACTCTGTCAAAAAAGTAAATTCCATTTTTTAAATTGCAATTTTGAAAATCTCAATCACTCACCCATTCCTCTCTCAAATCGTCAGGGATTTCAAAGATAATTTGCATCAAGAATTCCATCATGTACTGACACAACAAGAAGCAGAAATAATTTCATGCAGATTTTAGCCTAGTGACTTGCTAATCTCAAATGGGAAAAATAAGACAAGAATTGATCTGAAATCAGTAACATCAAAAATCTTCAAATATTGCCGATCTTCACTTCCCCATTCTGCCTCATTTAATTTTGCACCACTATTTATGATATTTAAAGCATTTATGATTATTTTCAGCATTGGGGAAGAAATTCAAGTGTAATCTTTTTGAAAGCTTTAATTCTGACATTCTTAGTGGCACAAGTCTGGAATGAGGAAAGACCATTGGCCTCCTGAAAATCATCCTGTTACGATTGTGATCCAATAAAACATAAATAGAACATGTGGGTAGGCAGAGGGTAAACTAGAACAGGGAATACTTTGTGCATTTTCTCAGCTCCACGGTTGGTGCTAGACTACCTTTCTTAGCTCCTGCACCGGTTGACTTGACCTGCCCTTTTAAAAGGGGCAACACCACACAACCACATACATTACAGCCCTACCCCCTGTACTTCCATATTCCCTTTATCTCTCTCTCTCTCATGCAAGTATTGTAGCTAACATATATACATCGTCAGGAATATTTACAACAAAAAAAAATGAAAAAGAAAATGACCCTTCCATAGTTACATCACCATGATCAGTCTCTTAGGGAGATGGCAATTCCTTGAATAAAATCTCTTCGACTCAAGAATCTTTTCCAATGTAGTCTCTCGGGCTTCTGGAAGCTCCTGTTGTTCTGTTGAGGTACTTCCCACTATGATTGGCTGTTACTCTATAAGCCTGCTGTTATCTCCTCCCTGGGTGTGGCCAACCATGGCTTGGAAACACATGACTCGGTCAACACCACTGATCCCATCTGGACTGGCTCGGTGTTCCGAGGGTCATCACCCCCATTGACGAGGTGTGGCGACCAGCTGACCCAAGTATCTCCTCCAGGCCAGTTAATCCCTAGTCTGTATAGGTAATTCTCTTATAACACAATAGTTGCATTCTTGTGTGACCTCACGCTATAGAAAATCACATTATAGGGAAATCGCTGCAGAAAATAGCTATACCTGTACAGAACAAACTTCGCGTTATCCAAACAGAGTCCACTTTTCGTCAATTGCATTAGTCAATTTGCATTAACGAAACACATGTTATAGCAGAACTACCTGTACCATATATGATAATGGTTCTGTTCAAGTCACACCATCACTGGGATTCGTTTTTCCCCAGATGTATAATTCCAGCTAACACCATCTTTCCTCTTTGGAAAACACTCAACTGTGAGTGTTCTGACCATCTGTCCTTCCAGATTTCACTCTATCATCTCTCTGATCGCTTCTGCCCGCAGTAAGTCAGTCAAACATGGTTCTGAACTGGCGGTTGAATATTAAGGATGCCAGTGAGCATCGGGTTATCACATGGTTCCTGTTCATGCTGAGGAACTTGCTGAGTCGCCATCCTAAGGAATTCTCCCCTTGTGAGGCCTTTAAGGCCTGCTTCAAGGTTTGTACAAATCTCTCTGCCTGGCCGTTTGTCACCGAGTGATATAGAGCTGATCTCACATATCTGGCTCTGTGATTTTCCAGGTGATCCTTGAACTCTTGTGCCACAAAGTGTGGACCATTGTCAGTCATTATTTGTTCGGGGTTCCCGAACCTGGCAAACATTTCATCCAGTTGGCCTATTGTTGCTTCCACTGATGCAGACTTCAAAACAACCACCTCGGGCCACGTGGAGCAGGTATCAATGACCACAGGGAGTGAAGGAACAGTGATATATTTCCAAGTCTGAATGGTGAGTGAATAACCTGTTCACTGATGCCCAGTTTGGGTTCTGCCAGGGTCACTCAGATCCTGACCTCATTACACCTTGGTTCAAACATAGACAGAAGTGCCGAATTCCAGAGGTGAGGTGAAAGCGTCAGCCTGTTACATCAACGCCACATTCGACCAAGTGCAGCATCAAGGAACCCTAGCAAAACTGGAATCAATGGGTATCGGGGGAAAACTCTCTGCTGGTCAGAGTCATACCTGGCATATAGAAAATGGTCTTGGTTGTTGGAGGTCAGTCATCTCACCTCCAGGACATTTCTGCAGGAGATCCTCATGGTAGAGTCCTGGGCCCAGCTGTTTTCAGCTGCTTTCAGCTGCTTCATCAATGACCTTCCCTCCATGATAAGGTCAGAGGTGGGGTTGTTTGCTGATAATTGCACAGTATTCAGCGCTATCCCCAACTCCTCAGATACTTAAGCAGTCCATGCCTAAATGCAACAAGACCTAGACAATATCCAGGCTTGGGCTGACAAGTGGCAAGAAGCATTCAGGCCACACAAATGCCAGGCTATGACCATCGCTAATAAGAAAGGATCTAACCACCAAACCTTGACATTCAATGGTATTATCATCACTGAATTCCCCCAGTATCAACATCCTTGGGGTTATCATTGATCAGAAACTTGCCATATAGGCAGAGTGGCCAGAAGACAGGTCAGAGGTTAGGAATACTGCATCTCCTGACTTCCCAAGGCCTGTCCAGCATTTACAAGGCATAGGTCGGGAGTATGATGGAATACTCCCCACTTGCCTGGATGCATGCGGCTTGAACAACACTCATTAAGCATGACACCATCCAGGAAAAAGCAGCACACTTGATTGTTTGTGGATATGATGCCAGTCACTCTACCTACAGGCAGTCAGTAGCAGCAAGTGTGTCCTACCTACAAGGTGCATTGCAGAAATTCAAATATCCTAAGACAGTATCTTCCAAACCAATGACCATTTCCATCTAGAAGGTCAAGGGCAGCAAGTACAGGGGAAACAACCACCTGCAAGTTTCCCCTCCAAGCCACTCATCATGTTGACTTGGAAATATAATCGCTGAAACGCCACAGTCACTGATTCAAAATTCTGGAATTCCTGGGTCAACCTAACGCAGGTGGGCTGCAGCAGCTCAAGAAGGGAGCTCACCACACCTTCGCAAGGTCAAAAGGGACAGGGCAATAAAATGCTTGCCAGCCAGCAAAGCCCATGGTCCCATGAGTGAATTAGAAAACAAAAAGACCTTGTGTGAAGCTTGACAATATCCAGGCTTGAGCTGACAAGTGGCAAGAAACATTCAGGCCACACTTGTTCTATGTATGTCCGTAGTGTAATTTTGGCAGGCTTCAATGGCAGTGCTTTTAACTTTGTGTTATGTATTGATTCCAGAATCAGAGACACTTCTGCACCTGTATCCATCTTTACTGTCTTACCCTTTAATTTGAGAAGAACCCAAATGAGATCAGCTTCATCCCACATTCACAGGATATTTAACTGAAACTCTGCTGACCCAGGGCTTTCAGCTTCTCCCGCAGACTTAGCTGATTCCCAGTCTACTTCCTGGCTGGTGGCATGACCTGATGTCTTATCCTCAGGGTTGTTGCTTTCTCACTCGCCTTCTCTCGTTTGGGTTGTACCCGGCAATTTCAGGCAATACATTCCACTCGCTTACACCAGCAGCACTGGGCTTCGAGTCCAACATGTTGAGTCATTGTGGCCACTCCTGCCACATCGGTGGCATTCTACAGTTGGTACAGCACTTTGCTGAGTTTCTGCCACTCTATGCACCTGGGCGCCGTCACTCAAATGGTGGCCAACTCCAACAAGGTAACAATTTCAAAAGTTGCCTTGAAATCCAGGTTTCTCCTTCTTAATAGTTTCCATTAGGTGGCTTCGTGTCGGAGACCGCAAACCAAACAGTCCTAGCAGGCATCTTGGAGGAACCCTCCAAATTCACAATGTTTCACTAACCTCTTTAAGGCTGCCATAATTTGGGTGATGGACCCTCTTCTGTGGTGTATCCGTTCATGAAAACAGAAAGGTTCTACGTCATCAGTGGCTTTTGTGCAAAATAACTGCCCAACACTTCACATAGTTCTTGGTATGTCTTCTCCACAAGTTTCTTTGGTTGCACCAGACTCCTTAGAACTGTGAAGGTCTTGCTCCAAATGGTACTCAAGAAGACCAGTACCATGGTGTCTTCAGCCATCTTATTTGCCTTTAAATACACACCAAAACATTCGATATGCAGCATCCAACACTCTTGTCTCTTCATCAAATGGTCCCATTGCTCCAAATTGGCCCAGTGTTGTTTTCCTGCAACTGGAGTTGATAGCCGTTCGCAGTCCAGGTCTGCTTGGTGAACAATCTGTGCACCAGCCACTCCCCCACCGAGTGCATTAGCATACGACTCTTCCCTGGTGCCACCTGCAGCCCGAGTCTCCTTGCAACCGCTTCCCACAATCTTGCGAAGCTGCCGAGTGAATACTCCCCTCTTCAGCTGTCGGCTGCAGTCCGAATTCCCTCAGCCCACCACTCTTGGCCTGGTCCTCGGAGCGAACTGTGCTTTCCTGGCGTCGACTGCAGTCCCAGCCCCTCGATGTTAACTCCACGAATCTGCTCGGTTTTCAAAGTACAGGCAACGTCATTCCTCCTTCCACAAAAAAAAGTAGCATTTGCACAGTTTGTGGCTCAAATCCAATCCTCATTGCCAGTTTGTGTTTGTGGTTCACTAGAACAAGAAATAGAATATGAAGTAGACAGAGGATAAACTAGAAGAGGGAATGATTTATTCTGCATCCTCTCAGCTCCACAGTCGGTGTCAAACTGCCTTTTCTAGCTCCTGCACCGGGTCACCTGACCTATTTGCTTAAAGGGGCAACTCCACACAACTATATACAGCCTAAGGCCATATTAGTCTGAAAACATCAGATCCCGTCTGATCCTGGAACCTAAGCAGACTCAGGCCTGGTTAGTATTTGGATGGGACTCACCCGAGAATACCAGGTGCAGTAGGCTTCAGGGATTTTGTGGCATGGTAGTAGTGTCCCTAACTCTGGGCCAGGAGGCCTGAGTTCATGTCCCATCTGCTTGAAAGATGTGTAATAACATTTCAATTTCAGTTGAGATGCAACAAATATATTCTGCAAATAGTGAGCCTCATTCCTATACGTGCCAGTCCTTAACTGGTGTTTCATAATGACTGATATACGATAAAGGATACATATTCCACTTTTTAAATTAATATTATTCACATCAGATGCCGTAGCATTCACCTGGGGAAAAGGTCATTAAGTGCAGCTTAGAAGCACAGATTCAACTTACTGACACAAGTACATAAATTCAATAAGTATTTAATCAGTCAGTTTGCATTAGATTACTGTACCACATCCTCATCATCATCATCCGACAAATGTCCTGGCTTTCGCTTGGCAAGCTGACTTGGGGCTAGACTTCTTCTCTATGGAACAAAAGCAACACATTTACAAAAAGTTAGACTGTACTTCTACAACAGCTTTTATAACACCCCAAAGCACTTTAAGCCAATGAGGTACATTTGAAGTGTAGTTACTATTCTAATGTAGAAAATGTAATAGCCAATTTATTTACAGAAATTTCTCACAAGCAGCAACGTAAGCAGACTGTATTTTTAAGTAAACATTTGAAACATTTATTTGGCAAGGAATCGGTGTTAAGTCCTATTCAGTGCATTGAGGGCTAGAACTTAAGTTGGTATTTCTAAAAACATAGAGCTCGTAAGTTAGTTGATTTTGCCAATTTGGGAATTTTACCTAAAGAAAAATTGCCTTTTCATATTTAAAAGAAATATTCCTAAGTGTTCCACATGTAATTCATTACTTTGAGCTGCAGTGACCAGTATACAAATTAATATAACCTCCAACAGCATTACTTCACCAACTGTAGCTAATCAGTTTTGTCAAGGTATCTAAGAGAATAATGTTGCCCAGGACACTGGAAAAACACCCTGTTCTTCTTCAATAATGACATGAGGTATTTAATACCCATTTGATCTACAAAAGTCTAATGGACCCTTAATTTAATATTTCATTCAAAGGATGGATGTCTGACAATACACCACCACTTCAACATTGCACTGGAAGTTCACCCACATTATGTGCCTCACCTCTGACTCAAAGATGAATGCAGTAGCAAAGAATTCAATCACATTGGGACTTCAGACTAAAACAGGGCAGTTGAAAGGGAGATTTTAACACTCTGCCAACCTAATCATTGTCGCACTTACCATTTTCTGAAACTGAGATTTCAATGCAATTTAACAACTTATTCAATCAGTTTTAAGTTTCTTCTCTCTCAAAATTCCATGATGTAGTTTACTTGAAGAGATAGCTGAGCACAGGAGTCTTTGTCTCATCCAACTTCTAGGTCATAATCACTGACCAGTGAAACTTCTTCAGCTTCCATTGCATCTATGCCATTGTCAAGCAGTTGATTCAGTACTTCAGTGAGCCAAATGATCAGGTCTAATGTTATGTAGCAATTCTTTTCCAGCTTCCTTTGAATGGAGTTTGCTCTTAATATCTTAGCCTTTTCAGATAAACGTGGAGTACTTTATAGATTACTGCTAAACAATTCCTGTGAACTTAGAAACCCCATTTCAATCTAGTGCTTCAACTTAATATCGAGTTGGTTTACTCCCACTCTTTAATCAACAATTATTATTAATAACATTATTAAAAAAAACAGAGTTCTCTTTTCACAATCTCAAATTTTGTGTTTTGCTATCAATTATTCTTTAGTTATCAATGAATATGATTAATCTCAATTACAGTACATCCACTATCAAATATAACAAAATTAGCTCACAATCCATTAATTGATCAGGTCACTGTAAAATTCTTGATTTGCCTCATTCTTCAACATAATTAAGCGGAACAAAGCAGCATTGCATTCACGGTCTATCAAACTCAAACCGTTTAGAAATCCGGCCTAATAACTTGAGCCCCTCTCTCATTTGATTCTCACTATTACAATCCCTAGATTATAGTTGAAGCCCTATGTAAATCCATAGAGGGAAGCTCACTGTCCCTGTGCCAGAGCCTGATCCACTCTCCCAGTCCCAATCTCACTCCTCGACTGAACCTGTCCCTCAGGCCCTTCACACTCTGTATGCCTCCTCTCCTCTAGTCCTCTCTTTCGTTCTTTCTTTCTCTTCTGTCCCCACGGCACAGGGAGTAGACCAATGTCTCGCTACCCCAATCCCTTCACGGCATTTCCCCACCTTTAACTGACAAACCCTCGCGGTACTTCTCTTTTTCTATTTCTCTATCTCTGTCTCTATCTGCCCTAATTCCACTTTCACCCGTTCCCTCTCTCACTCGAATTTACCGCCGGGTGCTGAGCCTGCGCATTGCGAATTACGGGTTCCGCGGAGGCTCCTGCCGCCACGAGCCCGCGTTACAGAGAGCCCCGCCCCCTAGGGCAGTGTTATCAGGGAGTCCCGCCTCCCCGAGGGCAGCGTTTACAGGTATCCGTGTCCCCAGGAGTAGTAGGAACTGCAGATGCTGGAGAATCTGAGATAACAAGGTGTAGAGCTGGATGAACACAGCAGGCCGAGCAGCATCAGAGGAGCAGGAAGGCTGACGTTTCAGGCCTAGACCGAAAGGCCCGAAACGTCAACATTCCTGCTCCTCTGATGCTGCTCGGCCTGCTGTGTTTATCCAGCTCTACACCTTGTTATCCCTGTCCCCAGGTGTTGTGTTTACAGGGGTCCCCCCCCCCCCCCTCCCGCCAACCACAGGGCGGTGTTAACAAGGAGCCCTGCCCCCTGGAAGCACGTTACCAGGTAGCCCCGCCCCCGATTGTAGCGTTTACTGTTTGCCCTGTCCCCAGGGGCCGCGTTTAAAGGGAGCCCCGACCGCAGGGGCCCAGTTTACTGGGAGCCCCGCCCCCCAGTGCCGCGTTAACGGGGAGCTCCGCCCACCCAGGGATCGTGTTTCAGAGAGAGAGGGTCCCCTGCCCACAATTCACACTTTCTCACGTCCTGTCTGATGGGGTGTACGCAATACTGACCAGGCCTGAAATTGTTGCCTATTCCTAATTTCTATTGAGAATTTGCTACAGAGCCACCACCTTGAATCTCTGCAGTTCTTTTTGCGGCTGCACAGGACATTGTTTAGGCCACTTTTGGAACGCTGCGTTCAGTTATGGTCCCCTCCTACAGGAAAAATGTTGTGAAATTTGAAAGGATTCAGAAAAGATTTACAAGGATGTTGCCATGGTTGGAGGGTTTGAGCTTTAGGGAGAGGCTGAACAGCTGGGGCTATTTTCCATGGAGCGTCACAGTCTGAGGGGTGACATTCTAAAGGTTTATGTGATCGTGGAGGGCATAGGGTGAATACCAGGGTCTTTTCCCTGGGGTGGGGAATCCAAAACTAGAGGGCATAGGTTTAAAGTAAGGGGGAAAGATTTAAGAGGGATCGAAGGGGCAACTCTTCCGTGTCGAGGGTGGTGCGTGTATGGAATAAGCTGCCAGAGGAAGTGGTGGAAGCTGGTCCAATGACAACGTTTAAAAGGCATGTGAATAGGTACATGAATAGAAAGGGTTTAGAGGGATATGGGCCAAAAGCTAGCAAATGGTATAAGAATAGTTTGGGATATTTGGTCGACAAGGATGAGTTGGAGCAAAGTGCCTGTTTCCATGTTGTACAGTCTGTGACTCTGTGCTGATCTTTCGATGAAGGGAAGGTCATTGATGAAGTAGCTGAAGATGGTTGGACCTGGAACACCACCTGAGGCAACAATATCCTGGAAGAGATAATTGACCTTCAACAATCACATCCATGTTCTTTTGTATCAGATATGATTCCAACCACAAACATGACACAGCCATGGAAGGATATTACTCGTGTCTTCGACTGTTGTGAAGACTGACGCAAAGTAATTATTCAGTTCCTCAGCCAATTCCTTGTTCCCCACTACTTTCTCCCCAGCGTCATTTTCCAGCTGCCCAATGTCCTCTTTTGCCCTTGATACATCTAAAGAAACTCTTACAGTCCTCCTTTATATTACTGGCTAGCTTACCCTCATAGTTAATGTTCACCCTCCTTATTTCTTCTTTTGTTGCCCTCTGTTAGTATTTGTAAGCTTCCCAACCCTCTGGTTTCCCACTGCCCTTCGCCACGTTATATGCTTTCTCTTTTGCTTTTATGCTATCCCTGACTTCCCTAGTCAGCCACTGTTGCCTCATTGTCCCCTGTGTCTCCTGAATTACTCCTAGAACTCCTGCCATTGCTGTTCCACTGTCTTCCTGCTAGGCTCCTCTCCCAGTCAATTCTGCCCAGCTCCGCCCTCATGCCTCTGTAGTTGCTTTTATTCAGTTGTAATACCGTTACCTCTGATTCTATCTTCTCCCTCTCAAATTGCAGAGTAAATTCAAACATATTCAGCAATCTTCAGCCAGAAATGCCGAGTGGACGATCCATCTCAGCCTCCTCCAGTGGTCCCGAACATTACAGATACCAGTCTTCAGTCTTCGATTCACTCCACGTGATATCATGAAATGGTTGGACGCACTGGATACTACAAAGGCTACAGGCCCTGACAACATTCCGGCAATAGTACTGAAGACTCGTACTCCAGAACTTGCTGCTCCCCTAGCCAAGCTGTTCCAGTACAGTTACAACACTGGCATCTACCTGACAATGTGGAAAATTGTCCAAGAACGTCCTGTACATAAAAAGAAGCAGGACAAATCCAATCTGGCCAATTACAGCCCCATCAGTCTACTGTCAATATCAGTAAAGTGATGGAACGTGTCATCAACAGCTCTCAGGCAGCACCTGCTCAGCAATAACCTGCTCAGTGATGCCTAGTTTGGATTCTGCCAGGGCTACTCAGCTCCTCACCTCATTACAGCCTTGGTTCAATCACAGACAAAAGATCTGAATTCCAGAGGTGAGATGAGAGTGACAGCCCTTGACATCAAGGCTGCATTTGATTGAGTATGGCATGACTGGAATCAATGAGAATCGGGGCAAACTCTCCGGTGGTTGGAGTCATACCTGACACGTAGGAAGATGGTCGTGATTGTTGGAGTCATCTCAGCTCCAGGACATCTCTGCAGGAGTTCCTCAGGGTAGTGTCCTAGTCCCAACCATCTTCAGCTGCTTCATCAATGACCTTCCCTCCATCATAAGGTCAGAAGTGGGGATGTTTGCCAATGATTGCCCAATGTTCAGCACTACTCGTGACTCCTGCAACAAGATCTGGACAATATCCAGGCTTTGGCTGACAAGTGGCGTAACTTACATGCCACACAAATGCCAGACTATGACCATCACCAACAAGAGAGAATCTAACCACCGCCTCTTGACATTCAATGGTGTTACCATCACTGAATCCCTCACTATCAACATTGTGGGAGTTATTGATCAGCAACTCAACTGGACTCACCACATAAATGCAGTGGCTACAAGAGCAGGCCAGAAGCTGGGAATACTGTGGCAAGTAACTCACCTGACTCCCCAAAGCCTGTCCACCATCTACAAGGCACAAGTCAGGAGTGTGATGGAATACTCCCCACTTGCCTGGAAGAGTGCAGCCCCAACAACACTCAAGAAGCTTCCAGGACAAAGCAGCCCACTTGATTGGCACTGCATCCACAAGTATCCACTCCCTCCACCATCAATGCTCAGTAGCAGCAGTGTGTACTATCTACAAGATGCACTTCAGAAATTCACCAAAGATCCTCAGACAGTACCTTCCAAACTCATGACCACTTCCATCTAGAAGGACAAGGGCAGCAGATCCATGGGAACACCACCATTTTCAAGTGACCCTCCAAGCCGCTCACCATCCTGACTTAGAAATATATTGCCATTCCTTCACTGTCACTGGGTCAATATTTTGGAATTCCCTCCCTAATGGCATTGTGGATCAACCCACAACAGGTGGACTATGGTGATTCAAGAAGGCAGTTCACCACCATCTTCTCAAGAGCAACTAGAAACAGGCAATAAATGCTGGCCAGCCAGTGATGCCCACATCCCACAAAATAAATAAATGTATTCCTAGCCTCTGACCTGCTGTTGTAGCCACTGCGTTTATCTGGCCACCTGGACCATTTAAGTGTTTATGCTCCATTTTTACATTGAAAGCCAGTCTCTCTCCTGTTGTCATGGCTAGGAAGGTACAATGTAACGATTCTTAACTACTTCTGAACAAAACTCACTCTTACAAGGCCAGTTGCCTACATAGAATAGGAACCTCAGCAAAAATAGTTGCTAACTTTGTATTGCAAGAAACAGATTGGAACTGGACTGGCATTGTGTACACACGGTAAAAATAATGTACCAGCCAATTACATCGTAGAAGTTGGCACAAATTATCCCTCATTCCAAGCGCAACCCTTTGAAGATTTTGTGAGAATTGTGAATTCTTCACTAATGTTCAGAGCAGAGGTAACCCTGGTATGCCACCAAAGTAACCACTGAGAATCACAATTAGCAACCTAACCACCACGGCAGGTTCCTCAGATGACAGCATAACAACAGCCATTTGTCGTTGAATTGGACGACTCCACACTTTTCGCACTTTTCTGAGAATGGAATATCTTTGAGTTTCAATTCTGTAGTAATCTTCTGCATCCCCTATCTTGTCAGATGCCAATTTTTTCTTTCTTTGACACTAGATGGAGTACAAGAGCTATCAAAGTATCCTTAAATGTATGTATAATAAATCAAAACCTCATCATCTGTGGGGGTCTAGCAGCACAAGCTTATTGTGGATAATATATTTTTTAAAAGTGGCTACTGATGCTGTGTAGCTCTCCTCTGTACCACAAAGACAGACACAAGCAGACCAGTCAACTCAATGAGAGAAAAAAAATTGCAAGTTTACAGACTAAGGAAGTGAACCAGCGCATAACGACAAGTGAATGTAGTTTAGATGGGATAAAGAAAATGCACACCTCAAGTAATGTCTGAAACTAATAACACGCACTGTAAGAATATGATTAAATTCAAACATATTATAGTAATCAATGATCTGTTGCAGATTTGGCTATTACATATATACTCCTGAATGGTAAACCTTACAAGTGAATGGAAACCCAGAGCTCGTGGTTTAGGTTGCAAATTATTCCAGGTAAGCACTGAGGGAAAAATAACACAAAAATGTAATAAGACTCCCCATTTGAATAAAATCTTCCCTGTCTCCCTGATAGCCCAAAACATTACCCAGCTGATGAATTACTTTTATAGTGTGGTCACTACTGTGGTATAAGGAAACATGGCAGCCAATTTTCATGTGGCAAAATATCACAAATAAATGATTAGCCTGTTCTAATGGTGTTTGTGATTAGCCTGATTCAATGGTGTTTTTAAGGTAGGATTGAGTGCCTTGACATCAAAGCAGCATTTCATTGTGTGTAGTATCAGGTAGCCTTAGTAAAACTAGTGCACATTGGAATTGAGGGTGAATCACTCGTGATTTGAATACAAAAAAATCTCTGGTGCAAAGTAAGTAGTTGTGGTTGTTGGAGATGAATCATCTCAGCCCTATGATATCACTGAAAGAGTTCCACAGAGTAGTGTCCGAGGTGCAACAGTTTTCAGCTGCTTCATCAAAGACCTTCATCATAAGGTCAGAAATGGGAACATTCACTGATTAATAAACAATCAGTGTTTAGCATCACTTACCACATCTTAGACAATGAAGCAGGTTGTGTCCAAATGCAGTAGGAGACAACCTTAAGGCTTGGCCTGATAAATGGCAGGTAATATTTGTACCACTTAAATGCCAGGCAATGACCACCTCCAACAAGGGAGAATCTAACCACCATCCCTTGATTAAAAACCAAAAGAACTGCGGATGCTGTAAATCAGGAACAAAAACAAAGTTGCTGGAAAAGCTCAGCAGGTCTGGCAGCATCTGTGGAGGAGAAAACAGAGTTAATGTTTCGGCTCCGGTGACCCTTCCTCAGAACTCCTTGATGTTCGCCTTGATGTTCACCAACATTACCATTGCAGAATTCCCAACTATCAACATCTTGGGGGTTACCTGATCAGAAATTGAAACAAATCAGCCATAGGTAATTCCCCTCCTGTTTCCCCAAAGCTAGTCCACTATCTGCAGGTACAGATCAGGCATGCAATTTACTACTGTCCCCTTGCCTGGATGATTGCAGCTCCAACAACATTTATGAAGCTTGACAGCAACAAGGACAAAGCAGCTTGCTTGACCGTCACCGCTTTTAATGTTCACACCTTTCATTCCTGACACACACTGGCAGCAGTGTACTGTACATAATATACAGTGCAGCAATTCATCAAAGCTCCTTTGATAGCCCCTTCCAGACCTGTGATCTCCACCACTTGGAAGGAGAAGAGCAGCTGATGTAAGGGAGCACCACCACCAGCAAGTTTCCGTCCAAGACTTACATCGCTGCACCTCATTGTCAAGGGGTCAAAGTCCTGCACCTCCTTTCCTAACAGCACTAGGGGTGTTTTTGGATTCCAAGGACTCCAGTAGTTCATAGTAGCAACTCACCATTCTCTTCTTGAGCAACATACAGTAAAAGCCAACCATGCCCACACTCAATGAAGCAATAATAATAAAAACTAAATTAAAAAAAAACATTGGATAGGATACAGGGAGAATTCTCCTGTCCTTCATGTTATCCCAAGAGTTCCTATATATCTATTTGGGACCTTTAATTAACACTTTGTGTGAAAAGTGGCACCTTACCATTGTATTGAATTAGTATTTGAAGCTTTGCGCTTAATTCTTCAAAGTACAGATTGAACCCATAACTTTCTGACTCAGAATCAAGAAAGTACTGCTCAGATGTGGGCCTTCTGTACATTATGTAAGTTACAGTGATATTGTGCTGAATTTTCAATGGCCTGTGGAAATAGGTGGGCCTGAAAAATGGAGGCAAATCCTTGGGCTGCTTCATTAAGTTTTCCTGTCTCTACGTGATTATACAGGAGTCAAAGTGACAACTAGAATAGTTATTTGATCAGCCACAGTGTACATTCCATACTTAAATACGTAAGCATCACCATCAGTCTCAATAACCCCATTCCCTTTCTAAGACTTCCCATTCTGCCTCTCTTCATCCCCATTTTCAACACTCCTATCCTCCTGCCCTTCCTCATCCAAACCCATGCCTCCGCGTCATCTCTCCCAACTCTTCCCATTTTCCCCACTCCATCTCCCAAAGCCCATCCCAAACCCCCACCTACTCTGCTGTCCAAACCCTCCAAGCCACTGCCTACTCCATTCCCAACTCTCCTCTCCACTCTCTTTCACAGTACCCCCCTTCATCCTCCTCATTGCCTCTCACAACTTCTCCAAGAGCTGCTGTGTTATTGAAAGATGACATCCGCTCCAGTGATACAAAGTGGCAGCCCAATGATGGAGGATCTGCGGGCTTTATCACTCCACCAAAGGGCAATTAAGGACACTCTCCCAATGTTAACTGGGTAAGTCATAAGGCGTCTACATGCAAAATGGCCGTGGGCTGTCAGTGGCAGGTCAGGTAGATATCAGTGCTGGAGACTCCATTCGACATGGAAGATACTGCTCCAAATATTGGCTGCAACAGTAGTAAATCTGTTTGTCTGTTTACCCCCTTTAGTAACCAGCAGTGGGAAAAAGACACTTTATACTCCAATGTACTTAACCAGCTCTTACCTCTGGCAGTGGGGTTGTGACTGTTATAAATCTTCTTATTGACTCCCAAGACATTGGAGCCCATTTGCCATCCTTAATTGGACAGGTCTCCCAGAAGCAGTCTTTTAATTGGCCACTTCCTTCAAAATAATTCTCTTTAGTCTATCAGTAACATTTGGGGGTTCCTGGTCCCTACTTCATGCAACCGGCAGGTTGGGGACACAGGAATTAAAATCCTGCCCATTATGACAATATTGTAACAAACATTTAGTAGTAATTCATTTTATGTTGTAAATAGAGGGAAATGTTTTATTTAAAAATTTTTCTTGTAAGGAAAAGGGTTGATCAACTACACATTATATTTCAAACTTTGGCTGGCCTGTTGTAGGGTGGGAAGGAAGACATACTTACTACTGGAAAAGTTGGGAATTGCATCTGCTGTTCTTCTTTGTGGGGGCCAGTTCGGGAATCTAAAGGTCTTCCTCCTCCTCTTGCTCTCTGGTCCTTCCCACAAATGTAGCAAACTATTTAAGGGCAGAATTTTTTGAATGGCAGGAATTCCCATCCTACCAGAGAAAAGACTGGCGGGAAATGAACTTGCTTGACAGCTGCCTTGTAGCTATTTGGTACTCCATGTGGACTGATGGTCATCTGAGGAGCTGACAGCACTGTTGTCCCAGCAAAAAGATGTGGAATTCACCAAGTCCCAAAGAACAAACCACAATGAGCCCAGGAGGTGAGGCCCCTGGGGTGGGGTGTGTGGTTGTGGTAGAGGGGGAACCTGAGCAGGCCAGACAATGGTGGGGTGGAGGAAGGGCTTGCATGGGATCCATAATCTTTCCTGATTTTCACTTGTGTCTCAGGCAGGCTAATCTGCTGGGTTTCACTCTTAACCCCAAAACCTGTTGTTGGGATGGGAAGTAGCTGTTTAGTGACAAATTACTTAAATAGTCTTTGAGAAAGGGTCTCTTTTGGCGAAAGGATGGAAGATACAATTTAGCTTGGTTCAGCTCTTATAAAATCACTATCAGATGGCAATGAGCAAGTAGGTGGTGAGAAGGACACACTTAGGATTTACAAGACTCCTGCCTGCAAAATCATTGACAGGGAACCATAAAAGTCTGCCTACGGTTTATTTTGTTGTCATTATGGCTTTGCAGTAGAAGCCAGCCAATAACTGAGATAAACAGAACAGAGTGATTTCAATTCCAAACCATAATCTGTCCTGGTTCAAAAACGGCTACAGGAAGCACTACAATTTGTTTTATATAAATGCAAAAACAAAACAGCTCTTCAAATTATTGAAATAAACAAATAGGAAAATTTAAGAACAATATGCTTGAGCTGGAAGTCAGGTGATTGTCATATTTGAACAATTGGTGAGTTTTGTAAGGAATCAAAGGGAATGCTGCAACCATAGCACAATAGGCTAGCAGACACCCACTATCTTTAGTGGTGAGAAGTGAAAGGAGGAAAGAGAAAGAAGAGTTTTTATTTATTTTCTTTCTCCCATGGGGAGAAGAGCGAGCCATTCCTTTGGGATAAGGTACCAATTGTGACATACACATCTGGAAAGAAACATTTCCAATTACTAGGTAGGATAGAAAGTGTTCTATTAATTTTACTTTACAAAATCAGAGGTTCATTTATGCGATGGAAAACAGAGGTACATCGTTGGTGATTAGAAAATTGCCATTGCCATTGACATTTCTCATTCCACAGCGCTAATTTCAGCTCTGATGCCATAAATAACACCTGACTGCTAATTTAAAATGTAAAAAAGGACAAGGCCAGTGTTTATAAAACATATGTAAGATCAGCATAAGTTAAAATGATCAAGATCAAAATGGAGCTTCTCAGAGGATGATGGTGAAGAGCAGGATTTGCTTCGAAAAACACCCTATAGTCTTCTAGGCATCTTGTTTTCCTGATTTTCTGTTTCAATGTAACCATCCAGTGAAGACTAAAAGAAAAATAAGGATTTGTGATAAATAAGCTTCTCAGCAAAGAAGAATTTAGAGAAAATGATTTAACAGGCACTGAAACAACTAAACAGCAGAGTGGCATAAAAGTTCTCCTCTGGTAAACTCTGAAATAGTTACCTTCCTATAACTATAGATCCAGATAAACTCAGGTTTTGCCTTCAACTATCATTTACCACAAATTAATATTTATAAGTATTGATATGCTTCCTTAAGTTACTCATACTATGTTCAATATTTAAAGAGAATCTCAATATCAAACCTTTTAAAATTCAGCCTAAGTATGATGACAGAATTTTCATGTTCTGCCAATTGCAAACTTTTAATAAAATGTGGTGTTGATGAATCACAAGGAGCACTTGAAATGAGCAAGAGCTAAAATACTGCAGTTGTTTTTAAGAATAATTCTTGAGCTCGTGATTTTAATAAAAAATGCACATTTCAGATAGTTAGATAAAGGAAGAGTGTTTATAACCAATCATCTGGAAATAAAGTGTTTTACACAGACTGAATATTGTGATAGTATTATGACACGTTATGTAACTAATGCAACAGTAATTTATATGCAGCAACATTCCACAAACGGCAGTTAATATGACAGGTCAAAATGAGCAATGGACCATGAGGAGAGCATTTAGCCCTTTGAATTTGTTCTGCTATTCAATGAGATTAAAGTTGATACGTTACTTAATTTCACATACCCACCTTTGCCCTATATTATTTATATTTGTTAATGTGATGCTGGTTAGGCCAGTATTCATTGCCCATCCTTAAATTGTCTAGAGAAGGTGGAGTTGAAGTGTCTTCTTGAATGACTGCAGTCCATGGGTTGCAAGTACATTCACAGTGCTGTTAGGAAGGGAGTTCCAAGATTTTGATGCAGTGACGCTGTAGTAACCAAGTCAGGATGTTCTGGAGCTTGGAAGAACATCAGTTTTGGAAGATGCTGCCAGAGGAACTCTGTTCAGAGTTGTTGCAGTGCATCTTGCAGATAGTACACAGTGCTCCCACTGTGCACCAGTTGTGGAAGAAGTGAATGTTGAACTTGTGAAATAGATTGCCAAGCAAAACCCCATTTGCTTTGTCCTGGATGGCATCAATCTTTGAATGTCAGAGTTCACTCATCCAGGCAGTTGGAGAGTATTCCATCACTCTCCCAACTTGTGCCTAGTAGATGGTGAACAGGCAGTGGTGAGACAGGAGATTTACTACAGAATACCAAGCATCTGACCCTTTTTCAGTCACTGTATTTATATGGCTGGTCAAATTCAATTCCTGATTAATTAGAACCCCTTGGATGTTGATAAAATGAAATTCAGTGATGGTAATGCTGTTGAACATCATGGAGAGATATTTAGATATTCTCTTGTTAGAGATGGTCATTGCCTGGCACTTGTAACACAAATATTACTTGTAACTTGTCAGTTCAAGCCTAAATATTGTTCAGGTCTTGCTGCATTTGGACACCGACGGTTTCGATACCCGAGGAGTCATAAATGATGCTAAACATTGATGATTGTACAGTGAAACATCCCCCCTTTCTGATCTTATGATGGAGGGAAGGTTATTGATGAAGCAGTTGAAGACAGCCAGGCCAAGGGCACCACCGTGAGAAAGTGCTACTGTGAAATCCTGTGGCTGAAGTAATTGACTTCCAAAAAGCACAACCATCATCTGTTATGCATATTATGACTCCAACCAGTGACTCCCAACTTTGCTTGGGCTCTTTGATGACATACTCAGTCAAATGCTGCTTTTATGTGAAGGGCCATTACCCTTGCTTCCCCTTTCGTCCATGCTTGGATCAAGTCCACAATGAGCTGGGTGGATCTTACAGAACCTAAACTGATCAGCAGCGAGCAGATTGTTATTTTGCAAGTGCTGCCTACTAGCATTGCGAAAACACTTTGCTGATGATTGAAAGTAGGCTGATAGGGCAGTCATTGGACAGAGCAGATTGGCCTGATTTTTTCTGGACACTGTCTGGGCAATTTTCCACATTGGCAGGTAGAGGCCAACATTGCAACTGTGCTGGAACAGTTTGTTTAGTGGCAAAGCTAGTTCTGGAACATACAAGTCTGAAGTACTATTTGCCAGAAAGTGGTCAAGGTCTTGCATCTTTTTTATTATCTAGCACCTTCTGCCTTTTCTTGATGTCTAGTAGAGTGAATTGAATTGATTGAAGGCTGGCCTGTATGATGCCAGGGACTTCAGAAGCAGGGGGAGATGAATTCTCTATTTAGCACTTCTAGAGGATGGTGCTTGCAAAAGGTTCAGTTTTGCCTTTTGCAATGCTGTTGTGGGCTACCCCCATCCTAGAGGTTTGGGGATATTTATGGAGCTTCTTCCTCCAGGGAGTTGTTTAATCGTCTGATACCTTCATGATTGGATATGGCAAGATAGCCAAGCTTAGATCTGATCTGTTGACTATAGGGTCATTTAGCCCTGTGTATCTCGGACTGCCTCTGCAGTTTGGCACACAAGCAGTCTTGAGTTGTAGCTTCATCAGGGTGACACCTCATTGCCTGGTGTTGCTTTTTATATGCGCCACCTGCACTCTTCATTGAACAATGGTTGATGCCCTCATGTTATGTTAATTGTAGAGTGGGATATATGCAGGGTCATAAGGTCATAGACTGTGTTTGAATACAATTCAGATGCTGCTGATGGCCCACAGTGCCTTATGGATGCTCAGTTATGGATACCCAGTCACTAAGTGCCAGATTCTTTTTGAAAGATACCATATTCAGCAGGTTTAGAATCACAGAATTCCTACAGTGTGGAAGGAAGCCATTCAACCTCTCAATTCCACACCAACCTTCTGAACAGCAGATCCAGCCCCCTATCTTATCTCTGTACCCCACATTTACTTTGGGTCAATCCACCTAACCTGCACATCTTTGGACTGTGGGAGGAATCCGGAGAATCTGGAGGGAACCCACACAGACACAGGGAGAATATACAAACTGCAAACAGGCTGTCGTCCAACAGTGGAATTGAACTCGGGTCCCTAGAGCTGTGAGGCAGCAGTGCTAACCACTGAGACACCATGGCACCCTCCAAAATACCTCTGATTAACAAAAATAAACAATAAATCTTAGTTAGAAATTTAATATTTAATCTAGCATCAACCACCATTTATGGAAGTGAGTCCCAAAAATTAGAAGATTGGGGATTAAAAATTAGGGATTCTATGATTCTATGAAGTGTTTTCTGAGTTCACTCTTGAAAAGATGTGGTTCTAAGACTTTATAGACCATGTCCCTAGTCCTAGACTCTGCAAGCAACAAAAATAATTAATTTCAATTTCCCCTATCTGTTCACATTACTATCATGAAAACATCAATTAAATCACTCTTTAACCTATATTTCAGGGAATAAAACCTTAATTTGTGTAATCTTGTTTTATATTTTAACCCTCGATATCCAGTTATCATTCTGTCAAATCTACACTGAACTCCTTTCCAGATCAATGGATTCTTTTTGAAGGGTGATGCCCTGAACTGCTACAATATTCCAGGTACAGCCTACATATCCAGCTTGATCTGACTTTCAAGGACTTTTGGTTCATAGTCTTGTAAGTATGGTACTTCAGGTGATTATCTGAATATTTTTTGTTAAAATGTGACAAGGGTTTTTAACCTTCATACAGTCAAGTTCCAGACTTCCATCATCTTCTGGAGAGGAGAACATTTTTTACCTAACATCATGAGCTGTCAGGTCAGTTCTAATGTGATTTGGTTCAGAATATAAAGACCTTCTCAATACCATAAAGTTTTAAACTCAAAAGTCTGAATCTATCATAAGTGGGTAGTTTGCAAGATCATCAAATTGTCTATCCACAAGGCCCAAAGGCATAACATTTTGGGCATTGTCTTGTTCTATATTTTTATGTATTTCTGACAGTGGGCTAAATCTTGCATTTTTTTTGGCTAAATCCAAGTTGCATTGGATTTTTTTGAAGGCTTTGTTGCTGCAAGGCTTAGCAAGTTCTCTTGCTATTATTACCAAACTCCCCCAATTAAACTACCTGCCACGTCCCTGTGGCGTAGCTTACATTTCATTTCCCTGCATCTTACAATGATGTTTCTGGAGTTTGAAAGCCCATAGTACTTTTCCAAGTGCACAGTCAAGAGCTGCCGTGATTGGTTCCTGACATTTGCCCTTGACAAATGTTTTCTTTGCAGGCAGGGTTGAAGATGTCCTGCTAGATATCCTCAGCCAGCTGGACAAATGCACCACAATGCAGGGAGAAAGTCAATGATCTTCTCCACTCTGCCAATGTTAAATACCCCCATCTTTTCTCTGCTACTTTTTAAAAAACGTTTATGGGATGTGGACATTGCTGGGAAGGACATCATTCCTTGCCCATCTCTAATTGCCTGGAGGGGAGTCAAGAGTTAACCACATTGCTGTGGGTATGGAGTCACATGTAGGCCAGACCAGGTAAGGATAGCAGATTTCCTTCCTTAAAAGGATATTAGTGAACCAGACTGTCATAAAAACACAATCAACAGTGGTTACATGGTCATCATTAGAATAGTTCTTTTATAAATTTAATTACTAGATTTTTTTTGGATTCAAATTTTGCCATATTTGGGATTTGAACACATGTCTCCAGAACATTAGCCTGGATTAGGAGGCCAGTGAAATTACCATTGCACCACAGCCTCCCCAATCTAACTTTTCTTGATTATGTTATGGATATCTAAATGCTCTGCTATCACGTCCTTGATAATGGACACTAACATTTTCCAAATGATAGGTATTAAGCTAATTACACAATAGTTTCCTGTTTTTGTCTCCTCCCTTTTTAAATAAAGATGTTTCATTGACAGTTTTCCAATCCTTTGAAACTTTTTTCCAGAATCTAAGCATTCTCGGAAGGTTACTACCAGTGCCTACATTATCTCTGCAGCTACTTCCTTTAAAATCCAAGGATGCAACCTATCAGGTCAAGGGGACTTAATGGCCTTTATCCCCATTAGTTTCCTTAGTATATTTTTCTCCAGTGATAATTACTGCATTAATTTGCTCCCTGCCTTTAGCCCTCTGATTATCTAGTATTTTTGGAATGCTATTAGTGTCCTCTACTGTGAAGACTGATGTAAGCATTAGTTCAACTCTTCTGCCATTTCCTGTCTCCCCATTACTATTTCTCCAGTCTTGTTGTCTAAGACAACAAACACAGAATACTGGAGAAAGCTGCAGGACTGACTGCATCTGTGGAAAGAAATGGAGAGTTAACGTTTCAAATCCAATATGACTCTTTTACACAACTCATTCTCCAAGATCCCCATGTTAACTGATGCCTCTCTCTTCCTTTTCATATAATTAAAGATGCTCTTGATGTCAATTTTCTTGTTACTTGCTGGTTTGCCCTGTTTATTTTCTCCCTCTTTATTCATTTTTGGGTCATCTTTTGTTGGCTTTTAAAACTTTCCTAATCATGATATTTGATTAATCTTGGCCACATTGTTTTTTCTTGCAATTTCAATTTGATACTGTCCTCAACTTCCTTGGTTTTTCCTCTCTATTATTTTGATTTCATATTAAAATACAAAACAAATCTCATGCGCATTCAAAACGGACCCTGCAAATATTGGAGCTGCACGCTCCTCTGAACAAAGGCTCCAGGTTTCTGCAAAATAACACATTTCAAAGGACTGAAATTTAGCCCCAACATAACCTCTGCTATCCCACTCACCTGCATCAGGATCCTTTCCTTTTTTAATCTGCTATAAAAACTCAGGACGTCCGTGTTAGCATGGACCACTCTCCTGTCAAAGTCCATCACTCGAAGACCTTCCAAGC